CCATAATAAATCCTGCCCTTCTGCAGTGTAGTTTAAAACAGGACAGACTGTACATATATGAACAGAGGTGACAATACTATCTAAGCAAAGAGTCCCTTAGGGAATCAAGGCAAGGCTACGGGAAATATAAAAACCTGGTATAACATGCAAACACTCTAGAGAATGATGGTAGTGATGGGCAAAAGCGATATCAATTGATATATCACAGTTGATAATCTCAACATTGAAACAGAAGACAGAAAGCTGATGTAACTTGTACCAAAGACATCTCATTTGATGGCAGCTAAACAGGAGAAATAAAAAGAACTGGCAGTATATATAATTGTATTTGAGGAAGTTGAAGATTGCAGGGCAGAAATGCATTTCCACCAGATGGGTTGGTAGTCTTAAGGACACTCCCAAGGGTATAGTGCTAAAGCCGACTGGTTGCCAGAGGTTTTGAAGAGCTGAATATTCAAGAGTTACCAAAAGATCCCCACCATGTGCCCACAGGATTCACTAGATTATGTTATCAGTGATATGTCAAACCAGTGGGAATACCATTCTATGGAAATCAAATCTGCATTCTTGCGGGTATGGAGCTATCCAGGGTATTTTATAATCGCCCCCCGTAGAGGCAGGATGGTCAACATGTGTATGGACTAAAAGAAATGTGGTATATGGTCTTGTAGATGCATCACTAATTGGTGTACAACAAAGTGAAGGAAATCATGACCTGAGTACTGGTGGTAGAGTGTCACAGGTGGGATCCGGCAGTTTTTTACTGGTGGGATGAGCAAATGTAAGGTTCACTGGGGTGCTTGCGTGTCATGTAGACTGATTTTTCTTTGGGCAAGGCTCCATCAAACTTCATCAATGTGGATCCCCCAACTGCAGTCTGCATTCAGGTTGGGCGTGAGGAGCCAATGAAAAGTTCTCCTATGGTAGGAATGGATTTGGTAACTGTTAACGGTGAAGTTCAGGTACAATCAACAAATGTTATATCCGAGAACCTGGAGCCTATTCCCATACAAGCAAGTCGGGCCACACAGAAAAATGAACCCTCAACGAAACCTGAAGAGAGAAGCAAGTTACGATCAAAAATAGGACAGATCCTATGGTTGCTAAACAGACAAGCCTGATGTAATGTTTGATTCATGTGTTTTGGCTTCTAATATAAAAGGGGCAACAGTGACAGTCTGTTCCTATGATGCTAATAAGATATCCGTAAGCTAAAGTCCCTGAAAAAGTGACACTCAGATTCCAACATCTGGGAAACAGTGATGCTTTGAACTTGAGATATTTGTTTTCAGTGATGCTTCATTTGGAAACAGTCCCAGACGGAGGGTACACAGGGAGGTAATTTTGTATAACACTTATGCGGCAGAAAAGAGGGGAAGCTTTTCCCCCCTCTGTTGGCATTCAAAGACAAATCAGAACGAGTGGTTCGCAGTACCACTTGCAGGGAAACTCTTGCAATGTCAGATGGGGTAACAAATGCAATTTTTCTCAGCCACACTATTTTCTGAGCTCACTACTGGAAATGCCCTGAAACTGAATGCACCCCCTGTAACTCTGGTGTGACCGATAACCACTCTCTGTTCGATGCGCTCAAGTCCACAAAAACAAGTCAACAGAGAAGAGACTCAGGTTGGAAATCAGTAGCATTAAGGAGCTCATACAGAGCAAGAGGATCAAAAGGTGCGTTGGTCAAGACACAAAATCTCAGCTCGCTGACTGTCTCTACCAAAAAAGGAGCTTCGGCTCTTGTGCTCTTAAAGCATAGTGGAAGGACAATGGGATCTGGGTTGAAGTGTCTGTTGAGAATGGAACATTGAGAACACCTTTGTTTTATGTATTTTATTTGTATTTGTATTGGTATTTATGTTGACATACTCAGGGAATTTTAAACATTCGTTTGCATCTTAAGTCACGGTATGTTTGTTTTATGATTCCAATGCAATGTAAAGTTATTTTTTTGTTTTGTTTATTTCTTTAAAAAGATAGAATGAGATTGTTAACATGTAATCTCTTTGCGTCTATACTACTGGCCTTACGGTAGTCTAGGTTGCCTTCTTGAAGCTGTGAAACGCATGCGCAGTGAGTCTGTCTGTGTGGACGAGGAGCCGGGGGGGTCCTCTGTTCGTTAATGGTGCTGTATTGGTGTTGTGCACGTTGATCAAATAAACCAAGTTAACAGAAGATAAACGTCGTGTTTATTTGCAGTAGACTAACACATTGGAAGTTAGTTAAGTCAAGATTTCTAAACTTTCTCAGTTAAAATAGTTGCACATATAACTACGAAACTCATCCCTGATTATAAGTAACTTGATTATTTAGTTGTTGTTTTTATTTACCTGTGAACTAGCTCTTGTAATGTTCTCCAGTGTAAAGTAGTTGGCCAGGCTACTCTCTTCATTGAACCTCTGCAGGGAGAGATTGGCTGTCTCCTTGACGACGGGCTCATTCGGGTTGTCCGCTGTGGGACAGTCCGGACAAACACTAACCACTGCAGTGGGGGGAACTAAACGTCAAAGAACAATGAAAAGTGGAGAAAGTGTTTGTTGAGAATGTAACCCAGGCCCTTTGTACAGTTACTAACCTCCATTCAACCTATATAGAGAATACTTCAATGTATGTCAGTATCATCAATTATTAAAACTTAAACTTAAAACTATATAACAAAATGAAAGCACTATCAAAATAAACTGGCAAAATACCTAATCAGTCTTAATGTTTCTGTTGATCTACCTTTACGAATTGCACAGGAGTAGCTTTGAAGTTTGACTTCAACGTCAAAGGTGGCAGATAGCTCACACTCTCCATACACCTAAAGGAAACACCCAAAAGCAGATTCAGTATAGATGCTGTATACATACAGTACATACAGTATAACCAAACTGGTTAGGTCAACATAGGCAACAAATGCAGGTTTTACAGAAAGTATATCTCTGGCATAAGTATTAAAATCATATTTGAAAAGCAGATTAAGTTTTTGATAGGCTTTTAGGTTGAGGTTACGATTGAACAATTGTTTTCTTTTGCTTCATAGGTTTCTAACTGAGATAGATGACCCAAGAGTGTCAGCCAAGATAAAAGCTGTTCAAACTTTTGTAATGGTAAGGAAAGGAGTCTTAATGCTTCCTCTCTTATCTCCTTTACTATATGTTACATTTGACGGTCCTGTAACAAAGTAAAGGAGATAATACATAAATAAATATAAACAACTGTCACTTCATATTTGTACCTGTAAAATGAAAGTATTTCCGTTTACAGGTTGAGTTTGGTTTTGGACAGAATCCTTAGTTGAATTTAACAGCATTCAATTTGTCACTTCTATAATTTTCGATGTGTCACAGATTAAGTTATTTAAAAAAATATTTATGGTTGCATAATGCTGTAGCATACTGTAAGAGCAAATTGATTCTCTCGGCACTGAATCTTTTAAAATACTTTTGTCCTTTCAAGAAATCACGATGCGTTTCCTCAAGTTCAAGTAATAGTCGTTAAAGGTCCCATGTCATGCTTTTCTGGTTATTACCCATCGCCTTGTGTGTTATGAAGGTTTTTATGCATGTAAACGGTCTGCAGAGTCAAAAACTCTCAAAGTACGCCCTGTAGCGAGTAAAACTCTAACACAGAAAAGACACGTCTATGCTGCCCCAGAACGCCTCGTTGGAGATTTCTCTTTCTCCATTTGTTTCTTCCGGGAACCAAAATGGACCAATCCGCGGAGCTCCTCACACACCAGGATCCCTTGGCGTCACTATCAAACGCAGTGGGGGGACCTTTAGCTTACATGTTCAACTAACAGGGAGTCTCATTGACTTGCATAGAGCTCCCTGGTTGGTAATAGAGGAGTTGGGATCGTGGAGAAATGCTCTTCGCAGACCCATTCTCACAGCGTTTATAAACCTTTTTCTTACTCAATATCAAGCCACACTTATTGTTTTTACTTCGGCTGTGAGTGTTTGTGTGTGCTCAGGATGAGTTTCGCGCTGTCTCACTGTATCGCCGACCCGGAAACCACACCAGTAAGCCAGCTCACTGAGCAGCAAGCGACCAATCAGAGCACACTGGGCTCACAGGGGGGGGGCACAAGCTCCAACAAGGCGTTTAGGGCAGAGAGTGAATACCAGTGAATACACATACTTTACAGAGATGCTGAATGAGAAACCAATGTGAGTTTGGGAAATTGAACAGTATAAATCTATGTTGAACAATGGAATTATGATCAGTAGAAATGGCCATGAGTAAATACATAATTATTTATTTAAGTATTGAATCGCTACTTTGTTTTGGTGTGCCTCACAAAAAGAAAACCCTCAATGTGTTGATCTGACAGATTGAGGACATCACCGTGTGGTACTTACAGGGACATCACCAATATCCCTAACTTCACATTGTTTCCATGGTTTCCTGCTGGTGATGTGCCATTTGGTCTCCATGACATCAATGGTCAGTTTGTACAGTGACACACCTTTCTCCTGCAAACACACACACATACACAGACACACATACAAATACTTATAGTTTTCCTGTTATTTTAAGGTTGCTGGTCTACCTTCTTTCTACCATTACTGTTTCATCTCTGCATGTGTTGATCCCTGTACACAATCTTTTTGTGTGCAGATGTGAATGTTCACCCTCACCTTTTCAGGAGTTTGGTTGAGGTCGTACAGTCTGTTAAGGCTCAGGATGTATCCGTTAGTCCGGTCCTGGTTGATCTGCTCCAGTGCCTCTTCCGCCACCCTCACCGCCTCAGGGTTAATGCAGCCTGGGGGATCTGCCCTGGCTTTCCCCCCCTGCTGCAGCAAAGCCAGACATAGGACTAGCAGGTACCCACTCACCATTTAAAACACACACACACACGCACACGCACACACACACACATACACACACACACACACACACACACACACACACACACACACACAGAGAGATTTGGCCACACGAAAACCCTAATCGAATGAATGAATCCTATCCTGGTAGATAATTTAACATTTAGGCTAACACAGGCCCTTGTTTGTAAATCTTCCTTGCAAGACCTGTAATCCTACTTTTTCCAGACAGGGTTTGGACAGACACTTGGGAGGCAGAGAATGGACTTTCCCCTCTTACCTAATAGATGAGCAAACAGCTGCTATCTGCTGCTCCATAGGCCAATTGCTGGCTCAGACTGACGGTAGGGTCATAGTGCACTGGGGAACAGGCGAAATGAAACCAATGAATGAAAAGCTACACCTAGTTTAATTTCTTTATTGTGATGCTATCATTGTAGACAATTCCAGAGAGCCTAATGAACACCACTGAAAATGTACAGTATGTTTTGGTTTTCAAGTAATGAAAGGTTTGTAGCTAGCTTTTTAGTATGGCAGATGCTGTAATCTTGGACTCAGCTAAATAACTTCTAGAAATGGTGAAAAGAAGGATGTAGACAACATTTAACTAAGAAACCCCAGTAAATCCTTTTGGTTTCTAGCGCAGTTGGCTGTTTACATTTGTCGGAATTAACTCTCACAATAAGTGCAAACAGCTAATCGCAGTAGCAACCAGATAATGTGCTAGCAATGGTGGAGCATGTCTTTTATAGCAGACAGGCTAAACCATTGTTTTATTTACGGGTTATCAAATCCCGGGTTATTTTTTTTTTTTCTCCCTGTGTTTAATTTAGTCAGAAAAGATCCACTTAGCATTTAGCTTACATGCAAAATACTGGAAAATAATAGGGTATAAACTGAACACAATTGGTTTCTTCCATATGTTTTTTTTGTAAGAAGACCATCTTGTTGGCTGTGTCTTTTGACAACGTTTGGCAAAATATAGAATTTGGGATGAGCATATCAGAACAACAATGTGCCATACAGTCAGAACTTTCTCCAATTAAACAAAGATAAAACTGAGGTAATGGTTTTTGGAGCCAAAGCAGAACGTATAAAAGTTAGCGCTGAGCTTCAGCCTGCAATGTTCAAAACAACAGATAGAGCCAGAAATCTAGGTGTAGTCATGGACTCTGACCTGAGTTTCAACAGTCACATTAAATCGGCCTACTATCACCTAAACAATATTTCTAGGATTAAAAGACTGATGTCAGAGCAGGATTTGGAAAAACTTGTCCATGCTGCAGCTTTTATATCTTCAGTAGACTCGACTACTGTAATGGTTCAATCAAATCCCGTTTATGCAAATCTGACAGTACAAGCACTAGCCAATCAAACCACGTGTAAACTGGGAGAGACATACCGCAGTTCATTTCCTCATATTCCAAACGAGAAATTACGGTAGCAAATCACCCGGTTCTTTACGACCAGTAACTATTTACCGGGATACAAACGGAAGGTAGCCGCCTACCAGTTATGGAGGGAGGTAGCAGAGAGAGTGGGTGAAACTGGTAGGTTTTCCCCTGTTTGGGGATTTTATATCCAGTTTACTTTGTTTAAACATTGCTATTGCTTTGTATGTCGGGGCGGGAGATTCATGTGATTGGTTGTTGGTCGCGTTGCTCGCAAAAAATCCCCAAGCTTTCAGACACACCCAGCTCCAAGATTTTCAAGATTTTTTCAAAGCTGCTCTGTGAAAAGTGGATCACATCACTCCTGTTCTGAAATCTTTACACTGGCTTCCTGTGTGTCAAATAATTGATATCAAAATACTGCTGCTGGTTTATAAAGCTTTGAATGGTTTAGGCCCAAAATACATTTCTGACCTACTGCTAAATTATGAACCATCCAGAACTCTCAGATATTCAGGGACTGGTCAGCGTTCTTGCCTTGCCTTGCCTTGCCTTGCCTTGACTTTGTCAACAAATAAAAAACACAAGCTTTTGCTGCTATCTTCTCCGCATAACCTTTAAGTAGTAATGTTTAGTAGACTTGAGAACAGCACACACACAAAATAAATGATGACCACTTATTGGTAGTGAAGTTCAACTTTATTTTCTGAATTGGAAAATTAGGTTTGCATCAATTATAAGAACAAAGCATAAAATCGCAGAAAACACAAGATCCCCAAAGAACAGAACAAAAATGATTTGACACCAGTTTTTTGTGAAGTTCAGAAGCAATAATTAATAACGTGCAAAAGCAACATATGAAAAAGTATGAAAAAGTTCAATTGTTTTAAATTATATTTGGATATGTGCTTTGACAAAAAATCCATAAAAGACCAGGCTTGTTTGAGACGGGCTGCGGCTCTCCTCGAAATTAGACGAGAATAGCCGATCGCAGCCGGGGGAGGTCTCAAAAAGCTTGCCTGAAGTCGGACAGCTCAGAGTCGG